CCTTTCATACAGACTGGAAAGGTCCCTGGGAAGTCTCACTGCCTGGCCTGCATTAATGCCTCACCAGATGACCTTAGACATCGGACATGGAGTGGCATTAAATTCTATGTCAAAAATAGAATCACTGAAATTTGAAAAAAAAAATCAAAAATAAAATTCCTTTAAAAGAGTTGTTTGTTTTCTATTGACTGTTTTGTATTACTTAAAGTAGTCCCAGTAAAAAAAGATGATGTGTATGGGTCCCATTCTGAACGGCCCTGTCAAAGGGACCCACCAGGTAACAAAAACGTGTGTGTGTGTGTGTGTGAACGTGAGCCTGTGTGTGTGTGTGTGTGTGTGAACGTGAGCCTGTGTGTGCGTGAGCCTGTGTGTGTGTGTGAACGTGAGCGTGTGTGTCTGTGTGAGCGTGTGTGTGTGTGTGAGTGCATATGCCGTGCTTACATAGTTTTAAAATAAAAACCTCATCCTTCTAACAACATGCACAAGGCGGTACTTTTCCACGACTCCTTTTGGTTTTCTCAAGGTTGAAACCGCTGCACGTCGGCAGCTGCTGATTGGACGGTCCGTGATTCTTACTGTTTAATATTGTCAAATGCTCTCTGAAACATCTGTGTTCGTGCTCGTCTACCGTCAACAATCACACATGTCTTCTGTCTGGAGGAAAGACACGATCCCCAGACTTTAGCCATCTCCTTCACAGTGTGTGTTTAGTGTTATTTCTGAACCAGTCTGAGCTCTGAGGCTTGTGCGACCTTCAAATGCTCACATTCTCAAACTTTAGAAATGTAAATAAAGTGCTATCATCTCTACTGTATCACACACTTTAGTCAAATGTATTCACTCAACAGCTTGGTACTTTGAGCATTATTAAACCAATAAACAAAATGAAATCATGGACACACGGATGCAGGGGGACGGTGTGAGCGGTCTACAAGCCTTCATACCATAGACAGTGAACAACAGAGACCGTCAATGGCCTATTTTTCCAATTCAAACTAATGGACTTTCACTCCTCTGCATGAGTGGCCCCTCCCTCAGGAAAACTGTAGAAGAAGGGCCCTCATCTCCGCTTGCACCTGCACCGCTCTGCACTCACGGAGAGGCGCCAGAAGGTTTCATAGTGTTTCTGTGATTGAACAACAAACCGCAGTCCAGTTAAATACGAGCAGGTTTTTTCTTGTTCTCTGAAATGTAATAATAATGTTGTTAGGTTAGAATTGGTATTGATATTATATCCTCTTTACGGTTGAATGCGCTGGAAACGGCAGCGAGTCCAAAGTGTCTCTGAAACAGTTTTTTGTGCTTTGTAATTTTCTTGCTTTTTTCTGCCTGAAATGTTGCTGCAGTTCAGTGTTCATGGTTTTACACTGGTCCAGACCAGAGAGGATTCATGGTTCTCTCTCTCTCTCTCTCTCTCTCTCTCTCTCTCTCTCTCTCTCTCTCTCTCTCTCTCTCTCTCTCTCTCTCTCTCTCTCTCTCTCTCTCTCTCTCTCTCTCTCTCTCTCTCTCTCTCCTCTCTCTCTCTCTCTCTCTCTCTCTCTCTCTCCTCTCTCTCTCTCTCTCTCTCTCTCTCTCTCTCTCTCTCTCTCTCTCTCTCTCTCTCTCTCTCTCTCTCTCTCTCTCTCTGAGACAAAGGCAGATCCTGCAGCAGACTTCATCCTCATGGTTCTTTGAAAGGTTTTCTGTGCATCAAAGAGAAAGTCTGAGCACATGTACTACAGACCCCACACATGTACTACAGACCCCACACATGTACTACGGACCCCACACATGTACTACAGACCCCACACATGTACTACGGACCCCACACATGTACTACAGACCCCACACATGTACTACGGACCCCACACATGTACTACAGACCCCACACATGTACTACAGACCCCACACATGTACTACGGACCCCACACATGTACTACAGACCCCACACATGTACTACAGACCCCACACATGTACTACAGACCCCACACCTGCAGGAGCGGTGCTGATGGAGTGTGTTTCCTTCCGGTCTCCCCATTGGCCGGAGGGGACAGAGGCCACTGCTGTTGTGGATTCAACTGTAGCTCTGGGCTTTTCGTCCGACGCATCAAAGTTTGCAGTGTCATAAATATCAGATGAGCGTCAGACCAACTCCGTTCTGGTGAAAGGGAAGAACAACAATCTCCTAAATATTAGTCTTGTGTTCAGGGAGACAGCCACGTCCTTTGAAGCTAAAAATACAAAACCATGATTGACAGGGACGTACAATACCACCACTCCAATCCTCCTTCCGAGAAACACTTTCAGAGGCGCTAAGTAACTAAGTACTGTAACTGTTGGTAACTAATATCTGTGTATTAGCCTCTCCATTGTCTCATAGTCTATCAGCACTTTCTACTCTGTACTCCTTTGAAAAGTATATGTGACTTTGCAGATTGACGTAGAAATAGGTTGAAAATGGAGAGCTGTGCCTAAAATTCATTGTGGTTAGTTTCGGCAATGGCTACTGTTTGACAAAGCGCTGTAAGGAGAAACAAGGTTGTGGGTGCTCGCAGAAGCTCCAGTTTTCATTGCTGTCATACTTTGATCTTCCCCAATTTAATAAAAATTAAATACAAATTAAATTATGCAATTCTGTTACAACGGTATGAGTTTGTCTCTAAAACCTGCTGCACCGCTTGGTCTGGTGGGAACGGAGCTTTAGAGTCCCAGCAGGAGGCCAGTCCCTGTGCTCCTCAGAGTCCCAGCAGGAGGCCAGTCCCTGTGCTCCTCAGAGTCCCAGCAGGAGGCCAGTCCCTGTGCTCCTCAGAGTCCCAGCAGGAGGCCAGTCCCTGTGCTCCTCAGAGTCCCAGCAGGAGGCCATTCCCTGTGCTCCTCAGAGTCCCAGCAGGAGGCCAGTCCCTGTGCTCCTCAGAGTCCGAGTTGGTTCATATGGCTCTAACATGTCACAGGGTTAAAGTCTTTTCCCTGAGCCACAGGAAGCCAGTGCTAGGGTTGGGGCGATATGGGCCTCAGCATGTATCACGATTTTTGTTGGTATGTATCACGATATGATGATATGATAATTTTAACAAAGCCTCATATAAAAGCTATAAAAACTTAGCACTGATCATTTTAAACACACTTGCCTCAAAGTGCATTTACTGATTTATTGGCAGCAAAATGTGTAATACAGCTATTGTATATAAAACGTATTAACAAAACTGAATTGTAGAGAATTCTGTTTTGTACATACTGAAAATTGCAGGCAACATGTAATAAAGGTGAACATTTGTAATTTGTAAAATATATAACAGTTTGTCCTTTGTAATATCAAAAGTGTAGCATTATCAAATAATTATTTGATCACTTTGGCTTATGTTTCCTAATCCCAATATGGTCAAAATGATCAAATACTGTATATATTTTTTGTATCCTTTTGCGTTTCTATAATTATGTAATTATAACTTATTTGTAATTATATTGCAATGTAGACAAACACATGCATTGAAGTAAAATGAATGACAGTAAACAGTAAATAAAGCTTACCAATGGCACTATGAGAGAGAGAGAGAGAGAGAGAGAGAGAGAGAGAGAGAGAGAGAGAGCGAGTGTCCGAAGCAAGCCACTCGAGTCCAGTTGTTTAGGGCAGCTGCTTTCACAACATTAGATCCACTGTCGATAGTTACACACAATTGCTTCTTTTTATCTAGTTCCCAAACTACTCCCATATGTTTGAGGTAGCTCCGCGTTTTGGCACAATGTCTTCTACAATCTGCATGTCTTCACCATGGTCTTCACCGCCGCACTCAGCCATGTTTGCTCTCTGCTCTGTTGTTGTTGTCCCTGCACGCCGCTCTGCTACACGTGCCGCGCAGATGCATCATCAAAGTGCGCCGCACACAAACGTGTCTTCCGCTCGCTGTTTTCAGTGTTAAATGACCGTATAAGGCATTTTCTTATCATTTAATTTACTTATACCGGTATACCGGTACAAAAAAAATATCGCCCAACCCTAGCCAGTGCAGAGACCTGAGAACTGGACTAATGTGATGGTTCTCACTGGTTCTACTCAGGAGTCGGTCTGCAGCCTTTTGATTATTCTCTGCTTTACACCAGACTTCGAAAAGTAATAATTGTGAGGGAAAACAGTACTATTCCTAATACTCTTAATTAATAATTAATAAAATATGCTCTTTTCCAATACTTCTTTAACTAATAACTGTAGTTCAGAGATATTTGGATTTCTATATTAGTTTTACAGCCCCTACATCTTGTTGTTTTCATTTCGATATCCCGCCCTCCACCGTTTCACCAATCAGAAAGTCTGTGATCCGGGCGCCAGAACTCACCGCATTGAGCTAATGTCACTGGTAAAGTACCATGTGGCACAGACCTAAAAAAGGTCTCGTTATGATTCTCAAATCATTAACGACAAAACAAGGAATAAAAGCAGGATTTCTATCTTTGTGAAAAAGGTGTTGGTTATAGATTTGTTGTTGACAAAACTCTTGTCTATTCAGATGTTATGGTCCCAGCTGGATTTGTCTGCATATCTGGCAACCTGAGTCAGGGAGAGTGGGAGAGGCTGCAGTACCACTTTTTATCAGATTGTTACATACTGCTCCTTTATACAATAATTAAACTTGAAATAATAATTTAATTCCTTTAGTCTCCAACACTGAAGATAGATACAGTACTTGCTCTGCTAAACTTGTATAATCTAACCACCTTGGTCGTTACCTGCGTGTTGTGCACAGATGTAATTGCCCTGCGCTCTGTGAGCAGCTACACAACCCTCGACATCAGCCGTGTGTGTCCGAGAGCTGCCTCCTTCACACACTTCTCTCTCTCTTCCACAGCCTGAAGGTGAGAGCGCTGCCTCTGCCGGATCGACAGCTGTTTCTCCAAATGTTGATCTGCTTCTCCTCAGTGTTTTAAATCTCTCATAAATATTTCACGTCTTACTCACAGTGAACAAAGCCATTACATCTGCAGCTCTTCCACTCAGTCCTCAGGGAGTGTTTGCATTCTGACGGACCATGATGCACCTCTCCTCTCCGTCTGTAGCTGCGTTTGCTGAAGTGAGTCGGATAATTGCAATCATGTTTTCATTAAGCTCATGTCAGAAAGATAATTGTTGTGATCCAATACATTCAAGCAACGGCCGCTTTGGTTTGTCCTTAAGGCTTTGATATGGACAAGATCAAAGGAAGTTATGGCATATCTAAGCCATATTTGGGCTTCTTTGCACCGGCTTCCTGTTCATTTTAGACCTGATTTTAAGATTTTATTGTTTACCACCCGCGAAGGGCCAGGTCCAGCTTATAGTGCCTGGACTCTGAGGAGCACAGGGACTGGCCTCCTGCTGGAACTCTGAGGAGCACAGGGACTGGCCTCCTGCTGTGACTCTGAGGAGCACAGGGACTGGCCTCCTGCTGTGACTCTGAGGAGCACAGGGACTGGCCTCCTGCTGTGACTCTGAGGAGCACAGGGACTGGCCTCCTGCCTGGACTCTGAGGAGCACAGGGACTGGCCTCCTGCTGTGACTCTGAGGAGCACACGGACTGGCCTCCTGCCTGGACTCTGAGGAGCACATCACAACAGATCACATCACTACAGTTCTGATCCAGCGCCATCGGCCCCCAATAAACCACACCCCAGTCCCCTGCTCCACCCTCACAGTCTCCTGCTCCACCCTCACTGTTTCCTGCCCCACCCTGCTCCGCCCTCACAGTCCCCTGCTCCGCCCTCACTGTCCCCTGCTCCACCCTCACTGTTCCCTGCTCCACCCTCACAGTCCCCTTCTCCACCCTCACTGTCCCCTGCTCCGCCCTCACTGTCCCCTGCTCCACCCTCACTGTCCACTTCTCCACCCTCACTGTCCCCTGCTCCACCCCCACTGTCCGCTGCTCCGCCCTCACTGTCCCCTGCTCCACCCTCACTGTCCCCTGCTCCACCCTCACTGTCCCCTGCTCCACCCTCACTGTCCCCTGCTCCACCCTCACAGTCCCCTGCTCCACCCTCACTCTCCCCTGCTCCACCCTCACTGTCCACTTCTCCACCCTCACTGTCCCCTGCTCCACCCTCACTGTCCACTACTCCACCCTCACTGTCCCCTGCTCCGCCCTCACTGTCCCCTGCTCCACCCTCACTGTCCACTGCTCCACCCTCACAGTCCCCTGCTCCACCCTCACTGTCCCCTGCTCCACCCTCACTGTCCCCTGCTCCGCCCTCACTGTCCACTGCTCCACCCTCACTGTCCCCTGCTCCACCCTCACTGTCCCCTGCTCCACCCTCACTGTCCCCTGCTCCACCCTCACAGTCCCCTGCTCCACCCTCACAGTCCCCTGCTCCACCCTCACTGTCCCCTGCTCCACCCTCACTGTCCACTTCCCACCCTCACCGTCCCCTGCTCCACCCTCACTGTCCACTACTCCACCCTCACTGTCCCCTGCTCCGCCCTCACTGTCCCCTGCTCCACCCTCACTGTCCACTGCTCCACCGTCACAGTCCCCTGCTCCACCCTCACTGTCCCCTGCTCCACCCTCACAGTCCCCAGAACCACCCTCACTGTCCCCTGCTCCACCCTCACTGTCCACTGCTCCACCCTCACTGTCCCCTGCTCCACCCTCACTGTCCCCTGCTCCACCCTCACTGTCCCCTGCTCCACCCTCACAGTCCCCTGCTCCACCCTCACTGTCCCCTGCTCCACCCTCGCTGTCCACTACTCCACCCTCACTGTCCCCTGCTCCGCCGTCACTGTGCCCTGCTCCACCCTCACTGTCCACTGCTCCACCCTCACTGTCCCCTGCTCCACCCTCACTGTCCACTACTCCACCCTCACTGTCCCCTGCTCCGCCCTCACTGTCCCCTGCTCCACCCTCACTGTCCACTGCTCCACCCTCACAGTCCCCTGCTCCACCCTCACTGTCCCCTGCTCCACCCTCACAGTCCCCTGCTCCACCCTCACTGTCCCCTGCTCCACCCTCACTGTCCCCTGCTCCGCCCTCACTGTCCCCTGCTCCACCCTCACTGTCCCCTGCTCCACCCTCACTGTCCCCTGCTCCACCCTCACAGTCCCCTGCTCCACCCTCACTGTCCCCTGCTCCACCCTCACTGTCCCCTGCTCCACCCTCACTGTCCACTTCTCCACCCTCACCGTCCCCTGCTCCACCCTCACTGTCCACTACTCCACCCTCACTGTCCCCTGCTCCGCCCTCACTGTCCCCTGCTCCACCCTCACTGTCCACTGCTCCACCGTCACAGTCCCCTGCTCCACCCTCACTGTCCCTGCTCCACCCTCACAGCCCCAGACCACCCTCACAGTCCCCAGAACCACCCTCACTGTCCCCTGCTCCACCCTCACTGTCCACTGCTCCACCCTCACTGTCCCTGCTCCACCCTCACTGTCCCCTGCTCCACCCTCACTGTCCCCTGCTCCACCCTCACTGTCCCCTGCTCCACCCTCACAGTCCCCTGCTCCACCCTCACTGTCCCCTGCTCCACCCTCGCTGTCCACTACTCCACCCTCACTGTCCCCTGCTCCGCCGTCACTGTGCCCTGCTCCACCCTCACTGTCCACTGCTCCACCCTCACTGTCCCCTGCTCCACCCTCACTGTCCACTGCTCCACCCTCACTGTCCCCTGCTCCACCCTCACTGTCCCCTGCTCCACCCTCAATGTCCCCTGCTCCACCCTCTGTCCCCCAATAATAACATGCTGCTCACGGTGGCGCAGTGGTTAGCGCTTGTGCAGCACAGCAAGAAGATAAGTAATAAGCATTTTTATGAACTCATTAGAAAATAAATCGGGTATAACCCACTTTGCCTGAAGCCCCCGCTGAAAGACCAAGGCCGTGTCTGTGTTGAAGGAGCAACCACAGAGAGCAGCAGGAGGATCAGCGAGGGACTAGAGCTTGTGGTTTCTACCTCCTTGACTTAGAAATGGATAAAAAAGAGATGAAAATGAGGTGATGGTTAAATGAAGACAATATTTGAGTAAACTTTGTAAAACTCTGGTTCTCGTCTCCTCCGCGGTGTTTGCTGCGTGCGCTCCGAGGCCAGACTTCACAGATTGTCTTGTATCTCCCCCAAACTTTCCGAGCTCCTTCTGAAGCCTCACCACCATCTGCTGCTTCTGGCACGGCACACTTCCTGTCACCGCGTCTCAGAGCTGAGCCGAGCCGAGCTGTGGGAGCTGCATCCACGGCTCAGAGCGGACTGATTTATGGACCTGATCACCGCAATCAAATGTCATGTGGACAGAGGGATCTTCACCACATCTGGGTATCTGGACACAAAAATAAAAATAAACAGCTTTTGTCATTTTATACAAATTGTTCCTCATCAAAAACAGACCTGGATGTGTTTTAGATCCCTCCACTTTTCTAAAATCCAGAACATCTGTCACAAACATGTAACTCCGCCCCTTCTGTCTAAAATCTTCTGTCTCTGTAATTCAAGTTTAATTCGATTTCAATTCTCATTAAGCCCTAAATCACAGCAGTCGCGATCTCAGACATAGAAACATTAGCACATAAAGCCTGGTTCACACGAGAAGATTTTAAAATTGTCGGCCGATTTTTTCTCCGTGTGAGACCCCACACACGGAGAAAAAAAATCAAGGGTCTAACTTCTTTGGTCGTACAGTGTGTGGTGCGCAGCCACACGACAAAATCACGCAAAAGTCTACAAGCCACGAGCCGCACTGGTTCAATGTTTATTTAAATACGTGGAAATGATGCATAAAACTTGTTGAACCAAGACTATGTACCGTATTTTATTTGGTGATTAAATTAATAAATGAATATTTTTGTGGCTCCGTCAGTAATAAAACATTTTTCAACAGGATCACAGACAAAATCTTCCTTCAAAGAGAAAACGCACGTCCTGAACATTAAATGAATAATCCAATATTAGTTTATGGCTCTGTGTCGGTTCTAATACTAATCAAATATCATCCCGGGGCCAACATCGATCATTCGTGGTCTGGATCTGGCCCCGGGTCTTGACTTTGACTCCCATGTGTTCAACAGGATATACAGGATGAAATAAATAATAATAATAATAATAATAATGCATCGGTTTTATATAGCGCTTTTTTGGACACTCAAAGACGCTTCACATGTGTCATTATTCATTCACTCCATACACGGTGGTGATAAACTACTACTGTAGCCACAGCTGCCCTGGGGCACACTGACAGAAGCGAGGCAACCAGTATGTGCCATCGGCCCCTCCGACCACCACCAACCATTCACACACACACCAGACTCATTCTAGGCAATGGGGGTGAAGTGTCTTGCCTAAGGACACAACGGCAGTTTGGCATTTTACAGCCGCAGCCGCCCCACTGTGGCTGGTGTTCCCAGAGGTTAAGTGTCTTGCCAAGGACACAACGACAGTAGTCAGTGGGAGTCGATGGTGAAAGTCTTGAGCGGGGCTTGAACCCACGACCTTCTGGCTCAAAGGCCAACGCTCTACCAACTGAGCTACTGCCGAAATGATCAAAACTCGTCAGAGCACTTTGTTAATCCACTGAACTGAGTGTGGGTTTTGAACATATTTGTAAAGAATCAATTGTTCTTGTGATGTGAGTGTTGTTGCCTCCTGCTACACACTCTGGGAAACGCAGGAGAGAAGAGGCATTCAGGTGCATACGGTAAGAAACAGCCTGAACAATATTTACTGACCTTTTATATTCTAACAGCGTAAGCTATAAATGGATTGTTTTACCCAATGCATTAAAGCTGGGGTACCTCACCTTTTGCTTCATAAAGTATAGACAACTGAAAGAGTCTTGTAAAAGTCAAATAACAAGAAATTAGACCACAAAAATATGTTATCTTTTCCATACTAGTAAGAGCCGGAGAGTCACTATTTGGCGCTGATTGGCTGAATGATGGTCTGAAAAATGTTCTGTCAGAAAAACGTGATCTATAGATGTGACAGAGGCCGAAAACACATGCAGGTGATAGAAGCAAACTGTTTTCAGAGTGAGGAACTAGAGCAATCTGGATTTCAATCTGGATTTCAATCTGGTAAAACTCGAGACAAAGATTGCATGAGCATATATTAATTGTTGGGATTGCATAAATAGACTCTTGAACCCAGCGGACTCATTGATTTGCTACTAATATATGTATTGCATTTTAACTATTCATGTGATCGATGCAATTAGACTCAGACAGGACTACTGCTTGAGTTGCGACCCCCCCGGGGCCTAGACCCTGGTGGCAAAGGAAGCTGAGCTGAAGACATGACATGGTACTCCACTGAAGAGGCGGTGATGGGGAGGAGGAGGGTTGCTGCTCGACCAGCTTGAAACTGCAGAGAACTGAGAGGCTCTGAAGCTGAGGCTGAAGCTGGGCGTGTAGAGGGAGGAGTCAGTGTGGCGGGATGACGTCTCTTTGGTCTTTCAGTCTGAATTGTATTGTCTTTGTCTGTCTTTGTTCCTGGTTCCGTTTTTTGATTGTTGAGTTTGTTTTCACCTGGACTTTTATTTTATCAAATCATTATTTTTGCATTCCTGCTTTTGAGTCCTCCTTCATCCCGCCCCTCATGACACTCAGCCAATCAACTCACAGTCGACAAATAGTGACTCACATGGGCGCTTTCTTACAAGTATGAAAAACGCAACGCTCATTTTCACTTTTCTGTCTGAAAATCTGATCTAAAGCCAAGAATACATGTCGGTGGGTGCAATATGGGTGGTGGGTTTAATAAGGTTTTACATACAATTTAGGGCTGTGAAACGATTAAAATGGTTTAGTTGATCAATCATATAATATGGTGAGTTAACTCATGATTAATCACATTTTTAACATTCTATTTCAAATCCACTCCAATTGAAGTTAAATGAGATTATAAAATGTAATGACATATTGTCATTCAAACTAAATGTACTTCAATCTGTTTGATTTGCTCACAACCTTTTAGTTTTGGGCACAACCAACATGAGCTGTTAGTCAAAAATCTACCATGGACGTGTGTATGAGGCCAAATACCACTGTAATTATGTTTAAAGCTGAGAAAAGTCAAAGTGGGTCCTTTAACGTTAATGCTTACTTCTGGGTTTACCACAATTTCTCCTCATCCTCATTTGAACATAAAGTCATCTGAATTTGGTTTCTCAACAGAATCAAAAAGTCTTGACTTAATGAGAGTGCATTTGTTTATTTATCGCTCGACAAGATAAAGGGTTCGAGTACGTTCACTTTGGTTTCTGCACTGAAGCCAAAGTGCATTAAATTACCTTTAGTTTGACTTGTTAGAGATTCCTGACCAGTTACACAGAACTTTAACTGTAAACAATTACTTTGTCAATGAAACAAGAACTCCCATTGGACAAAAGTTCTTGTTTAAATTAAAATGTGTGAAAACTCACCAGAAACATCTTAAAGCAGGTGAAACCTCTGAAGTCATGTTAGATCCTCTGGATACTAACTATGTTCACTGACTAAGATCAAACCTCCTCAAGTCACGTATGACTCGACAAGATGAAGATCTAGTTTAGTGTCATGTTAGATCCTCTGGATAATAACTATCTAAACTTACTAAGATCAAACCTCCTCAAGTCACGTATGACTCGACAAGATAAAGATCTAGTTTAGTGTCATGTTAGCGTGATGCTAGCTTTGTCCTGAACACCACGTCTAACACTAATGTCTGTGTTTGTTTTAGAAACACCACCAGCTCCTCCTCCTCTTCTTCTTCTTGTGCAGCCCGTTGACTTTGTCCTGGAGCTCATGAACCTGGAGCTCCAGAGCAGTGTTGTAGTCCTGAGAGGAGGTCAGGTCCTCAGACAGCTTCTGTACCTGCTGCTCCAGGATCAGCCGGCTCTGTTTCTCTGAACACAGCTGATCTCGGTGGAGCTGCTGAAGCTTCTCTTTGAGGACTTCTTTGACGTCTCTGTTGCAAGCAGGACGTTCTGTAGTATTTTTCATATCGTTGCTCTTTAGTTCCTCCTCCTCACTCCACAAATTCTCAGTCTCTTGTTTCTCCTCTCGCAGGACCTGACCTTTCAGACTTTTCTCTTCTTCAGCCCTCTGGTTATCCTGGAGGGCCTGGGTTCGATTGTCTCTTTTCATCACCTTTTCCTCGAGGTCAAAGTTGGCGACTTTCAGGTCTGCGATCTCCGCCCACACAGCTTCTCGGGCTTCCTCCACTTGTGCAGCAAAAGCAGAAGCCTTCTGTTGTTTCAGATGATGGATCTCACACTCTTTGTCCTCCAGCTCCTTGTTGTGTTCATTCTGGACATTCTCACACTGTGCTTTGAAGGCCTGTATCTGCTCCTGTTTAGTCTGAAGCTTCTCTTTGAGCTCCTCTACCAGCTGCAGCAGAGCAGTCTGGGAGGTCTGGGCCTCTCTGGTGGCCTGCTTCTCCTGGTCCAGGGCAGATCTTAGGACGGACACTTGGATCTTCAGCTCGTGCGTCTCTCTCTCCTTCTCCTGCAGTTTGTGCTCAGCTTCACTGGTGAGACTCTTCTCCTGGTTCAGGGCAGACGTGAGAGAGCCCAGTGTTGTTGACAGCTTCTGTGTCTCTGTCTGTAACTGCTCCACATTTCTCTGGGCTGTGACTGTGGCTTGGTCTCTCTCACTCAGATCTGACTGGAGTTGGGTCACATGACTCCTCAGTGACTCCTTCTCCTGCTGCTCCTGCTGCAGCTCCTGTTGCAGAGCTGTGATCTGGTTCCTCAGAGCGGCCTTCTGTTGGGACGTCTCAGAGATTGCATCCAGGAGTCTCTGTGCTCTCTTGTCTTTACGATCCAGTATGGTTTCGAGCCTGGCGTTTCTTTCAGACAGATCGCGTATCTCGTCCTCCACAGCTTCCTTGGCCTCCTGCACCTGGTCACGAAAAGCATCCTCAGCCCTATCCTCTAAACTCCTGATGACATTGTCTTTGGCTTCCAGCTCATTCTTGTGCTGATTCTCCATGTACTCCATCCAGTGCTCGCACTGAGCCTGGTGGCGAGATTTGAAGGCCCAAATCTCGCCTGGATCCCGCTCTACATCCAGTTTGAGGTTCTCTATCTGTGTGAGAAGCTCTTCCTGGGAGGCCTGGTTCCTCTGCTGTTCCCTCTCCAACTGTAGCTTCAGCTCTTGGTTCTGTCTGAGCAGATGTTGAGAGAGGGCCTGGTCCTGCGGAGCGTCCACAGACACAGTGTTATTAATGAGTTGTGTAGACTCATTAATTGGCGGTTGGTTCGGGCGGGGCGTCCTGCGCCTCCTGCGACGCGAACTGTGGCTCATGTCAACGTTTTCGTTGCGAAAATCCATGTTTTGTTCTGTTCGTTTATAACTTCTGAAAATGCAAATCTGTGCTATTGTCTAAAGTGATTCTACTCCCATCAACTCAAATCTAGGCCTTTGATTATGTCAGAATGCTGATGTCATAGTTACCATAGCAACAGCTATTCTGTGGAATCATCTGGTTTCCATAGTTACCAATATTACAATCAACCACTTTGCTATATATTAGGGCTGTCAAACGATTAAAATGTTTTAGTTGATTAATCATATAATATGGTGAGTTAACTCACGATTAATCAAATTTTTAACATTCTATTTCAAATCTATTCCAATTGAAGTTAAATGAGATTATCAAATGTAATGACACATTGTCATTCAAACCAAATGTACTTCAATCTGTTTGATTTGCTCACAACCTTTTAGTTTTGGGCACAACCAACATGAGCTGTTAAGGAAAATGAAATTTTACGTACCCCAGCTTTATTTTTGCGGGTTTGGTTGCATTTCAGGAGGAGACACGGACACTTCCGCGGTGTGTCCGTGGATCTGTTATGAAACGGGTGTGTCACACAACATGCAGAGAATAGCCCTGTCTTATATGGTCTTACCCCTGGACTCCACCGGGCGCGTCTCCGTTGACGCGCGTTGGCTGCTGTCCGTCAGACGTCCGTAAAACGGACTAGTGGTCAAACCGGCTGCAGCTGCGCGCAGCTCTGGCTGTGCGTTTATCAGCCTGCTTTGTTTTTGTAGGAGACACGTTTGGGCATTGTGTGAATGAATGAATATTTGGCTGATGAAGAAGTGTGTGTGTGTGTGTGTGTGTGTGCGCGCGCGCGTGCCCGCAGCGTTTATTATGATCCAGCCTCTTCGTTTGTTTTCTACTTATTTAGCGCGTCATACACTTTTATCTGACCCAACTCCCCTCTCCGCAACTTTAGGCAACAGACAGCCGCTATAGTTTTAAATAGAAGAAGCAGTGTGTGATGTGCATGAGCTGTGGCTATGATCAATGCAAAGCACAGCACATTGAAGCATTGAGGATTGATGGATTGATGGATGAGGCAAAACTTATTGAAAGCAAAAAGGGGAGAGAGAAAAGAGAAAAGAACTCCAGTGTTGTTGTGAGATCTGTCTTTCATAAGTGCAGTATAGCTCTGTGTGTGTGTGTGTGTGTGTGTGTGTGTGTGTGTGGCAGTGAGGAGAGAGCGCCTCGGAGGTAGAGGGGACAGAGCGAGAGAAAAAAGAGCGAGGTGTATGTAAAGATTAGCGTATTTACATTACGCGAAAAATGAATGGTAGATTTACGATCAGGAAACAATTGTTTAAAGTAATACATGAAGAAAATTACACAGGTTTGTTAATAATCATTGTCATTAACAAATACTTATAACCAAGGGCTACAGCATATATCAATACATGTTTAATAATGTGGCAAATATATTATTCCATTGTATTTTCAATGGAAAACGGACCCGACACGCGTCGACGGACGGAACAAATACACAGCAAATCTCCCTGTGTTACTTTAACTCTATACGAGTTATATCCAACACTTCAAAAATGTTAATAGTGGTCCACACCAGATTGATGTAAAATAACACTTTTAAAAGTGTTACATGTTTAACACCAACAAAGAGTTACCGCACATCACTTTTATGGTTAAATGTCACACATTATGAGTTGAAATTAACTCACATATTCTAACACATATAATTTTTAACACCTGACAGTGTAATGTTAACTCAATTTATAGTGTTATATTCTTAACACAGTTTGTGTTAAATTTATGCCTTACAAAAGCCCCCCAAAAAATGGCAACAATACATAAACTTTCAACATTTATTGAAAGGCACACCATTTAACACAGCTTTGCATTGTACAGAAAATTCAGCAGGGTTAAACAATGCAGTAACTTGGAACAACGTATGTTTTATCATCCATTGCATTAGAAAACTGCTTGTCAAGGGGCCTGTAATACTTCAAGTCACTTACACTTATAACAGAATAGGACTCTCCTGTGTCATCGATACAATAGGCATTGAAATGCTCAAAAATGCTCAAAATAAAGTGTCCATTTTACACATCAAAAGAAATGCATCTTTAATGACAATGTTCACTATATTGTTGAACATTGGAATGTCAATTTCTTTCTGAGCATACACAAGCATCCCAATATGATACTCTGTTCCATAGCTTTTTACCCAATTTGTAATAGAGACTTCAGCAAAACTGTTCAAATCAAAAAAAGAACACAAAGTAGCCTCTCCATCCAGACCATTAACCACAACACATTTTAAAGGTCCACATTCAAATCTTTCAAAATTGAAATTTTCCCAGTGGTAAGCAAGTTGTCTCTGGTGTTGTTTAACTAAAGATTTTGTTAGATTTTTAAAGTTCTTAATAGATCTTTTGAAAAAATTATGCTTAGCTTCGAATCGCATGCACCATACATGTAGGAGCGGACCTATTTTACGGATACATCTGGGATAATGAAGCATGAAATGATGTTTCGGAATTAATCTTTTTTGTGGAAACAATAACTTGAACAATTTGGTGTTCATGAATTAAATGTTTCAAAAAGTATGTCATGCCATAAGTTATAACTGGGGAAAAAACAATGTTTACAATCTGAATCAAAAGAAGCAACAAATTCCAACAACTGTCATTTCTGTTCACAAGATCACCAAACATGAGGGGAGCATTTCTGACAAGACACCCTGACTGTATGGGATTTAGTCCAAGATCTTTACTACCATCCTCCATTTTAATGCAACTTGGGTCGATTTTTTCTTTCAATGTAGCCATAGTTGAAACTTTGAATTCTTTGTGACAATGTATCTAAAGATAGACATTTCTGATCAATTAAATATTTAAAGACAAGTTTTAGTTCGTATTGAACAACACCTTCTAGTAAATCATGCATGATGTCCACTGCATAGTTTTCAGAAGTATGAAAAAAATGGAGTATTAAGCAAGCAAGATAACGCATGAGAATGTCTTAAATGCTGAAAAAGGAGCTTAGAACTTCTTTGGTGTGCCTTACAAGTAAAGCAAGTGAACATCACTTTACTGATCTGTGTTTAAAATTCTGGCCCGGAGTTCCTTCACTCTTGGACTTTCTTTAGTGTTGCCGACGTCAATATTGAAAACTGTAGTTTGAATGAAAGTGTAGAAGTTGCAGAGGGATTCTTCATAGTTGAGACCAAAGATGAAGTGCGATTTGAACAGTTCATCAAGTGATGTCTCAGCTCTGCAGGGTATTGGCTTGTGATCAACGCTTATGTAGAACTTTTTTGATTGACCCACGCAGAGTAGAAGAGGCTGTCCAGGCTCAAGTCCAGCAAGGAAGACTTCGATGCTGACACCAATCTAAATAAAAAATATTTAAATCCATGATGAACAATGTATAAACATAATTGTAAATTAAATGTAATTTTGTCCTCAAAAAATATTTGTTTTTCTGCAATTAAGACACAGCATGTGAAAAATAATAAAATCTATGAAGTGAAACTTAAGTAACATGCACATTCAAAAATAAAAATCAGTGTAATAGATATGAAAAATCTGAACTTTTAGGCAAAAAAATAGGACTATTGGCGCTGACCATTTATTATTCACTATTGTTTTCACTTCAGCAAGAAACACATAAGAGTTATCTGCCTACAATGACACCATCTCATTTTTTAATTTGGCCTGCAGGAGCTTTTTTATATCATAAAAGAATTAGGCAGTCTGTGTGCAACAATTTTCAAATTTATGGTTTTATTTAGTTGATTTATTCAGTTTAGTCTATTTTTTATAGATAGTGAATTATTATGTACAAAAGTCCAAATTTAAGAGTTCAAGACCATTACTAATCAAGAGCAGAGTTTGGATCAAAAGCATAAACTGAATATAACTTGTTTAATTTGAAACATGCAAATTGATATACCTGTAAGTATTGCACAAGCTTTTTGATTGCTTGTGCAGCGCTAATTTTAGCACTTTTCTTGATGCCTTTGGGAGCAGGTGTACTAAAAGCAACACACTGGACAAGTCACTATCCCAACCTACAGAGAAATCAGAAAATGTATACACAAAAAATGTGACAAAAAACTTACCATCTTCAGTTAAAAGTGCATCCACACGATCACTGCAATACAAGCCCTCACACTCCTCCAGGACCCGATTTTTAAAGAAAGTGGGCCACTTGGACAGGAATCGGTTAGAAACCTCCTCCCCAAACATCATTGCGAAGTCTTGTTCTATCTGTAAGGAAATAAATCAGTCTCACATACTTATGCAATTGGGAGACAATATTACGCTTCTCTTACCAGACCCGGTGTATCAAGGAATCTTGTGAAGACATCCAGGACTGAAAGGGAGCTTTCTTCATCATGGATCATAGACTGGCGATACTGAAATGTAGACTTCATTTTCTCCATGACAACATTTTCATTGGCCGAGTGCTTTAGCAGTGCCGTTGCTTCAAGGCAGTCATCTCCATGTAGCTGGTTATTTTCAGGAAGAGATCTCTGCCTCTTTGGCCCAACTTCAGGGTCATAACTTTTCGATTGTCTTTTTGACTGTGGGAGCATATTGCGTTTACATGTCTTCAAACGCCATGCTATGTACCCTGTGGTGCCTACTGGATCATAAAAATGCTCCTGGAGGTGCATAATAAACTTTAGACATATTGAAATGAAATCAACATAAACAAAGTAAACCTCGCTTACATATCCTGTCTCTGAAAACGGATCCCTCAGGCACGGGAACAGTGTCACTATTCCGAGAGCATACATGATCCGAACAGGGACTGGTGGACAGCCCCTAAGTAGAAGCAATTGAATATTGTCATAATTTTGATTACAGTTTAAACATTGTTTTTTAATTACATACCCATAATCCTCCATCATTTTTGCCACAACCTGATTCACAATGACGATGCTTTTTTTCTCTGATATTTTCTTTGATTGGTAATACTCCTCCATGAGACCTTGTCCTTCTGCTTTTGACTGTATTGCATTCAGCACCATCTAAAAACAAAGGTACATATAATACAGGGTTTATACAGATAATAGCAAGTCACATATTATGCTTCCAAATTGTAAAGAAAATCACACCTGTATGACTGAGGACTTGCAAGGGAAAATAATTCTACCAAAACTGCAGTAAAGACCCTAATTTCTACATTTGTGACCAATCTTCTGCAGTGAAATTAGTAATGCAATGTTGTAATTGCCAAACTTATTTGAAGGATTTTATGTTTGAATACTGAGGTTGAATGAAATTTAAGGTCCCTCCTAAAAGATACATTGTATGACTTAATGCCCAGTGGAAAGTCTGTTGAATTCAGTATCTGTTTAGCCTTCTCTCTTTCATAATCTGTGTGCTTTCCTCCATTGCTCCTTATTATAATTGTTGAATCTGAATCAGATGAGATTCCAGCTAAAGGACTGGAAATGTCGGATCCAAGTGATTCTTGTGAGCTTGGGGAAAAATCAAGTACAACTGAAAGCAAACCAAAAAATTATTAGTCTATAAATGGTACATCTTTTTTGTTTCTTAAGCCCACCAGTTGATTTTTGTGCAGATACGTTGATTGTGATGTTACTTCTCTCCAAAAGCTCCCCAAACACATCTGCCTCCACTTCTGTGCCCGTTTCATCCGTCAAGTGCAGCTGTGTTCCAAGTGGAAGGCCGAGCTTCTCTGTGACTGAAGAAAAAAAAAAAGCCAAATGTCTAACTTGATGACTGCATTTGAATTCGTGGTTTGAAACAAGCAGATCAGCCAAATATCCATTGGAGTAAGGCTGAGCTTTTTTTTTTATGCTAAAAAAGCGTTTATCCTTTTACTTTAGGCTAGATCATAGAAAATGGGCCAAACCAGCGATCAGTAAAGTATCCGTCTAACTTCTTTCAAATATCAACACTTAGGCCACTACAGACGAGTTACTCGTCTGGTTGTTCATAAACTTTAGATCTTGAAATTAGACTCCCAGGATAATCCTATGGCCCAAAATGAGGGTGAAGATAGTCACCTCATCACAAAGCTATTATGTTTTCTCCATTTAATGATGTTTCTATTGAGTAGTTACACAAAGTATAATTAATAACACAAAATTAAAAGACCTAGCTAATAAAAATGGCTATTCAAGTACCCCATCTAATTATACTTTAATTGTGAAACTTCTCACAGAAAAATTTAAATATTAACATTATGCCAACTAATAATCCCTTCATCCCTGTTTTGTAATTAAGCAAAATTACCACAACTATGCTTTAGAACATTTATAAATTCTGTGTAACTTCAAACAGGGTTTGTGTGTAATTTCCCAATCTAAGGCAGGTGCAAGTGTGTCATATGGCATGTTGTTTTAGTAATGCGCTACACATTAATGTACAAACTGTTTACAACACATTGCATTAGTTCTGGAACAGACATACCAACCTTTCTGATGGAACGTGTCAAAGTCGCTACAGCCATCATCACTTGGAACCAGTGCGATGTACTTTTGGACTTCACCAAATTTAACTGGGATTAACATTTTTCTAAGTGGGAAAGGGAAAAAAATGTCATGGTAGTATCATGAAGCAAAACATTTTACAAACATTATAGTACCACAGTCCAATTTAAAAAACGAAAAAGCCAGTCACAGACAAAAGTACAGTGAAATACTAAAAGGGCACATGCCCACTGCATCAATGCTGAAGCTAAAAACGTGTATGTGTCTAACTATAGGCACATTGAATAAATACCTATGCACACTAAATACGAACTCCGATGCTAACGATAAAAGCCAACACTGATCAAATGGTGTCAACGGACTGGAAAAACTAGTAACACAGCAAGACGCTAAAGATGCTAACGGGAAGCACATGGAGACCTGTGCGCAATGACTAGGCTACGCAGCACGTGCTCCGATGCTAAGCGTATCTAAGTTAGCATGCTACTAAAGCTACCGAAGTGTATAGGCTAAATCTTTAGTAGTTATCGGTGCCGTGTGCCAATGATATCACCAATCTACAAGTCACAACAGCACCAGGCTGGACACCAAATATTGCAAAAGATGAAAGAACAGCATTGTTAGTTCAAAGAGGACAACGAGTGGAAAGGCCCAGTGGGGGAAAAAAAGCCAACTAATCACACACAGAAGCATTATTGCTTTACCCTGTAATCAAATGTATCATGCACTCCGCACATGTGCATCAATGCTGAAGCTAAAAACGTGTACGTGGCTAATGCTAAGCACATTAATAAAATACCTTTGCACACTAAACACGTACTCCGATGGTAACGATAAAAGCGAAGACTGATCAAATGGTGTCAACGGGCTGAAAAACTAGCTACGCAGCGCGATGCTCAAATGCTAACGGGAAGCACATGGAGACCTGTGCGCAATAACTAGGCTAAGCAGCACGTGCTCCAATGCTAGGCGTATTTAAGCTAGCATGCTACTAAAGCTACCCACGTGTATAACTAGTGGCTGAGGACTAGGCTAATGCTTTGGTAGTTATCGGAGCCGCGTGCAAATGATATCAACAAGCTGCTAGTCACATCAGCACCAGGCTGGACACCAAATATTGCAAAAGACAAAAGGGTACTAGCACAAGGTGAGCGAGGAGTGGAAGGCAGGCCCAGTGAAAAAAGCATAGCTAATGCTAAAGGTAACTAATCATGCACAGACTTTACTTTTACTGTCGTCAAATGTATATTTACTTCACAAAACATAATTATGCAGCCAAATGATGATATTACAATACACGTACAAGTTTTTGTTTTAAAAGTATAAAGCACCATATTGGTTGCTTTGCCTACATTAGGTGACTTTGATGATTATTATTAGCAAAGCAACAATTAGCATTTTAAACAAAGGTGAAATTGAAATGTATCCTTACTTGAGATGTTTCACCGCTGCGGTTGAATTAGTGCTTGAATGAGAACTTCACCTGCTGACTACGTCCTCGTGCTGGCTCGTGGAGGGTGGAGTCAGTGACGTCACAAACAGAAACACGCGAGAAGTGTTGAAAGCGCAACACTGTCTGGGAACTCCAACTCATTTTTATAAATGACAAATGACGAGTTAAAATAACTCAAAAAGTGGTCAAATCAACTCAGACTTTTTATCACTTTACACAAATCAACACCAACACAGTGAATTTAACTCATCTACATTTGCTGTGTAGGATTGTTTCTATTTCGTCCGTCTGCGTCCGTTGCACCCTCCGTTAACGGAATACGTCCGACGTGCATCAGACGGACGCATGCGGAGGCAGTGGAGCCACTTCCATTCACCCTCATGGAGATAACGGAGACGGAGATGAAACGGACATGTTTGGACGGATCCGTCGTCCGTTTTACGCGCCCGGTGGAGTCGGGGCCTTATATGGACACATTACCACGGCACCGTTCACCGCGTTGTGCCGCTAACAACAACCAGAGCGGCCGCAGCTGCCCCCGGGGGGGTCACGCACGTATTCTTTTAAAACTTCACAGAGGATTGGATTCCCTGCTCTGTTGCCATCTCGCACAGGCGTGTGTCCAGGGCATTGAGTGATATCTGAGTGATATTATGGATAAAAGGGGCGGGTCATTCGGACATGCGTTAATGCGTTATTTCTTTTTTTTTTTTACGCGTTAATGAAAATAGTAATTAACGTGAGTTAACGCGATAGCACCCGGCTCCCCACGTGACAATAATTAGAGCACCTGTGCCTTGGGTACAAAAGGAGATGGGGAGGAGGAAGAGGAGGAGGAGCCCCCTCTGCGCCCCTGATCCACACTTCACCGTAGCCTGCGTCTAAGCGGACTCTGGTGAAGGATATTGCCCATAATTCTTTGCGGTACACAACAAAACGTCGGGAAAATGCATTAAAGTTTAATTTTTGAAATATATATGCTGTATGTGTGTAAATAAGTTTTGCTGTTACTTGGAAAGAAGCATAAATGTATTTACGGACATTCTATGCTAACAATTTCATAACTTTTTTAAAAGCAAGCATTCATATAACATTAAATCTAAACTTTACACTTAGTACAATAAAGTTAGGATGTATAAAAACTGACCAGATAAAAGTTAGTTACCCACATTTAACTTAAAATTATACAGCTATCTCAAATTACAAATAACCAATATACATTTATTTAAACGTGTGTGAAGCAACTCACTCACTACTACTTTTGTTTCCCACAGGGTCGGATCAAACAACCTTTAATTTGATAAAGTTTAGGTCTGAAAATGTCCATCTCTTGACGAGTCGATGACATAAACCTGCACTATCCCAATTCCGCCTTTTTTTTTGCTTGTAACCTGCCACTCAAACTCTTGCACTTCAAACAAATGCACACTTCGTAGAGCAGTGTAGGCTGCAGTGTGGGTGTTGGGACAGGCCTTGGTCTGCCGGTCCAGGCCGTGGCCAAGAGAAGGTTTTTAAGCCGATTTTAGCTTCTGTTTTTAGCCTAGGTTTGTATTGCTATTTATTCTTTTACTTGTTTTTTTTAATACTTTTTTTATAATGAATTGCTTTAACTTGCTTGATTTTCTCGCATTGTTTCATGGTCTGTGATTTGAAAGCTTCCTTTACCTCAGCTTTAAAAATGCACTATTTAAATGATCTGCACCTGCTTGGGTTTTATTTGCAAATGTCTCCACAGCCCGGTGCCGTCCTCTCGCCTCCTCTTCCACTTGAAGCCGTCAGACCGGTGACAGGTACCAGGAGACCGCAGCGTCCCGGGTCGGAGCAGAGGCCGTGGAACTCATTTGTAATGGCTGTCCAGCGCTCACATCCATCAGACGTCCAGAGGGAACCGAACCCATCACAGAAGGAGCCGGCCGAGCAGCTGGTTTTACACTCTTTCAACTGAGACGTGAACAAATGAATGGATGGATTTAAAACAAGGGCAATTAGTGAGCACTTTGAGGAATTGATGTGAGAGCTGATGCGAATGATTGGTTTGGATTGGTATGGATTGGTATGGATTGGTTTGGTTTGGTATGGATTGTGGACGCAAACCGTTTAGAACACAAGGAAGAGTCATATTGGACGCAAACACATGAAAAAAAAACCTTTAGACTCTACCTGTTTAAGCTTCGGTTTTGTTTAATTTAAACTTCTCTAGAGGTTTAAGGAAGCTATTATTATTATTACGTTTTTTGATCTTGTGGGAATTAGGTCGATGCCATAGGACCTCGCAGTCCACAAAGCATATTACACAAGTAGCAAACGGGCAATTAAAATAAGTTTGTTTTGGAAAGAAGGATGAAAACAGGCAATAATACTTAAAATAGAGCAAATACAGTACATACGTACTTGTCTTGTGCACACTGGGGACTTTTGCAAATGTTTTCCAATGTGGTTTTATTGCAAATGGCAACTGAATGAATCTGTATCTGAAACATACTGTAAATTCAGTAAAAAAGATTCATGTTAAAACAATCAAACGATAAACTCTTCAAATTAGTCATGTGCATAGCTAAGTAAGACTGGACTTAAAAATTGACAGGGGCGTGGTCCTTCTTACAAGTTCAGTATGTGAAAAAAAAAAACATAACTAAAACCGTTCACTTTTGTATGAATGGAGGACAAAAGGACGTACAGTATGTTCTGGGCCTCTGGCAATGACACTGGGAAAACACTACAACATCAAATCACTCACATCTATTCCTCCAGTGACGGACGGTGGCGGCTCTCGGCCCACAGTGTGTGACTGTCCCGCTCTCGTTCCTCCGGCCGCCTCGTCTACAGCTGAGGGGGGAGAGTGGGGGAGGGTGGAGGAGAGGGTGGGGAGAGGGAGGAGACAATGCTACATGATGTGCAATAACACTTTGTATTGATGGCGAGATGAGCAGAGCATGAAATGTCTCCCACTGCAAGCATTTGGGAGCCAGTCTCCAGCACCACACACACACACACACACACACACATGTACACACACACACACACGCACATACACACACACATACACTAACACATACACACACAACACACACATACACACAATAAACTGCAAGAGAATGAGATCCACAAGCTACTGTATGTATCTGTCTGTGTCTGTGTTGATTGAGTTGTGGGGACTTGGATATGTTCACACACTTCATACAGTCTAAATGGGGACAATGTAAATGATGAGAAAGCTTTATCAATAGCAACACAATATTCAGATATGTATTAAAAACAATGGGGAACCAGACTTTCAAATAACAAAAGATTAAGACTATAATATATGAATCATGTCATTGTTTATTTTATTTACAAAGGAGACAAAGCCAACACAAAAATCACTGAATGTGGCTGTCTTTGTAATAAGGTCCTATTGGTTTCAGTGTATGTATGTACTGTATGTGTAAATGTATGCATGTATGTATGTACTGTCTGTGTAAATGTATGCATGTATGTATGTGTATTTGTATATGTATGTGTGTGTATATGTATGCGTGTGTCTATGTAATGTACAGTACAGACCAAAAGTTTGGACACACCTTCTCCTTCAAAGATTTTAATTTTTTTTACATGATGAATTTACTCATGTGGAATTATGTACGCACAAAAAAAAGTATGACAATTCTGAAAATAGTAGTAAACTCAAAGTAGCACCTTTTGCTCTGATTACTGCTTCACTCTTGGCATTTTCTTGATGAGCTTCAAGAGGACCTGAAATGGTCTCCAACAGTCTTGAAGGAGTTCCCAGAGATGCTTAGCACTTGTTGGCCCTTTTGCCTTCACTCTGTGGTCCAGCTCACCCCAAAACCATCTGGATTGGGTTCAGGACCGGTGACTGTGGAGGTCATCTGGCCCAGCACCATCACTCTCCTTATTGGGTGTGTGTGTGTGTGTGTGTGTGTGTGCGTGCGTGTCTACATGTGCCTCTCGAAAATAACTATGACTTTTGCACATTTTGTCAAGTTCACCACCATGAACATAAAGAATACATATTGAATTCACACAAATGACAGACCACTGTAAAGCAAATAAAATGGTTTTCTCATAATCTTGACAAAGATTTAGAAAATTGAAAAGTGGGGCATCAAAAGTATTTTATAGCAATTTTTAGTACTTCAGATTACTTTTAAAACATGTATAATAACAATGAAATAGAGCCAAATCTGCTCTCTATAATTACACCTGTTCTGTGATGGCCTTGGAGCTATGGTATATTGGTTACTAAAAAGAGTAATCTTATATCATACACCAACCAAATACATAGATAAATGAAGACCAAGGTCTACACACAGTAGAGGTCAGGGATGAAGTCATGAAGTTTGAAACATAGTCAGGTTACGCCAACATTTCCAAAGCTTAGAACACCTCACAGAGCACTGTTTAATCTATCATCTGGAAAGAGTATGGCACAACTGCAAATCCACCAAGACTCGGCTGACTTCCCAAACTCACAAGTCCAACAAGGACATCACTGATCATAGATGCAGGCACGAGGCCAATGGTTCCTCTGGAGGAGCTGCACCTGGAGGAATCTGTACATGAGCCAATTATTAGTCACACTCAACACACACCTGGCCTTTATGGACGAATAGATAGTTAGCGTTGAAATACACCAAAGTGAGGACACATTCACTGGGACCTTGGGAACTTTTTGGCCCAAATGCAAAATGTTCTGCTTGGCTCAAGACTAACACTGTCAATACCCTCAGTGCACCAACGCCAGAGTCAAATATGGGCGTGGTAGCATCATGATGAGGCCCCATAACATGATCCTGCTTTTCATCAGCACAGACCGAGGAGAGAGACAGAGTAGACGGAAGCTGCACGGAGCCAAATACTGAGCACTGTTGGAAGAAAAGCTGCTGCAGTTGGAGATCACAGAAGTTCATACTCGTGCTGTGTACAAAACTTATGCAGGTCCTCACTTTTCTATTTATGAAAACAAAATCATCATTGTCAGAATTTTGCTTTCCCTGCAGTGTTTTCTATACTTGGGTTTGAATCTGTAGGGGAAAAAATCTTCATGTTTATGGCTGTAAACATGACAAAGAGGCAATGTACAGTATATGTGCGTGTGTACAGTATGTATAGTATGTATGTATGTATAGTATGTATGTATGTATAGTATGTACTGTATGTGTGCGTGTGTGTGCGTGTTTATGTATGTATATTATGTCCGTACAGTATGTATAGTATTTTAGTGTATCCAGTATGTATAGTATGTAAGTGTATACAGTATGTATGTATATATGTATGTATGTGTGCGTGTATGTATAGTATGTATGTAAATTATGTACGTACAGTATGTATAGTATGTAAGTCTATACAGGATGTATGTATTTATGTGTGTGTGTGTGTGTGTGCGTGCGTGTTTGTGTGTGTATGTATGTATATTATGTACGTGCAGCCTGTATGTATGTATGCTATGTATGTATGTGTGTACAGTATGTATGTATATGTGTGTGTGTATGTATATATGTGTGTATGTAAGTATGTATGTGTGCATGTGTGTACAGTATGTATGCATGGATGTGTGTTTTTTTGACTACACACCCTAATTCCGTGTATAAGCACTTTCTTTCTTGCATAAATAATAATAAAAGCAGCATCAGTCTGAACAGTATGACACGTGCAGGGGGCAGCTGTAAAAGTTACACACTGCATCTTTAAATCAACGGAAACCTCGGGGTCTCTCCCAACACCTGAGCAAAACCTCCCCCAGTCTGCGCTCCATGACACTTCTCCTGCCTCCGTGCCTCCAGCGGGGGATGATGGGAGAAGCCCCCTCTGCCCTGAGCGCGCCTCCCATTGGCGTGCGCCTGACGTGACCGCGCAGGACTGACTTTAAAGAGCGCGTGTTTCTGCGGAGAGCCTTCTACACGAGCGAGACTACTGCTGCTGACACTACTGCTGCTGCTGCTGACACTACTGCTGCTGCTGCTGACACTACTGCTGAAAACTTCTCCGCGTTTTGGAAGCTGAGCCTGAGCGACCCGAGCACCATGAGCGGGGTAGGATTACTCTCCATTACGCACCGCTTTACGCACTGGTATTTCGCGCTTGGAATTTGCATCTTGATTCATTCTCTCATTACTGCTCAGATGAGAAGTACGTGTTATTGTGTCAGTGTCACCCGTCCCTATAACACATCCTTGTCTCCAACTTGCACATTGTAGTATTTTATCTCAGGCTGGAAAAGATCTGATAAGTCTAAATATGTAATGGAGTTGAACTGTTCTCTTTACCATCTTAATTTATGTCTAACTCCGGCAGAAACGACAGTGTTGTTCTGCTCCAAAGCCCCGGTCTGATATAGTCACACAGCTACGGGCAGAGGGATATTAATAGCTCTTTTTAATGTGTGATTTTTTTTTTCTCTGCTTAAAAGTCGGGTTTTTGGATCTCTGGAGTAAAACCTGTTGTGGGTTCATTTAATACTTTCTCCAAAACATGAAATGGACAATAGAGGACGAGATGCTCCACAAATGTCTTTAGAGATTCAGTAATGGAGCTTATTTTGTGTTTTGTTTTGTGAGGAGACATTCGACTCTTGCCACTTGATACACATTTTTGCTATTTATCTGTGTATTTTATTTGCACATTTAATGATACACAACGAGAACAACAATAATAGTAACAAAAAGCCGTAGAATACTGTTTTCCTTTCTAATTTGTAAAGCCCATTAGAGAAAGACAGATAAAGACAGATTAAAGACAGATTAACAGATTGACAATGATCCATAGTGTCTGTAATGAAGTTATTTATACTATATATACTTTTATAATAATATTTACAACTCTATACAATTGTTTCCCAAACTGTGGGGATTGTGCATCACCCGAACACAACAAATAGATAGAGAGAGAGAGACAGACAGAGAGAGACGGAGAGAGAGAGTGAGAGACAGACACACACACAGAGAGAGAAAGAGACAGAGAGAGAGACACACATGAGTGAGAAAGAGACAGAGAGAGAGACACACACAGAGAGAGAAAGAGACAGAGAGAGACAGAGAGAGATAGAGAGAGAAAGACACACAGAGCGAGAAAGAGACAGACCAAGAGAGGGAAAGAGAGAGAGACAGAGAGAGAGAGAAAAAGACAGAGAGAGAGAGAGACACACACAGAGAGAGAAAGAGACAGAGAGAGACAGAGACAGAGAGAAAGACACACAGAGCGAGAAAGAGACTGACCAAGAGAGGGAAAGAGAGAGAGACAGACAGAGAGAGAAAAAGAGACAGAGAGAGAGAGAGAGAGAGAGAGAGAGACACACACAGAGAGAGAAAGAGACAGATCAAGAGAGGGACAGAGAGAGAGACAGAGAGAGAGAGCGAAACAGAGAGAGACAGAGAGAGAGAGAAACACACACAGAGAGAGAGAGACAGAGAGAGAGAAAGAGATAGAGAGAGACAGACACAGAGAGACAGACAGAGAGAGAAAAAGACAGAGAGAGTGAGTTCCCACAAGCTGTTCAGAATCAGCCACTCCGTGATGAAGTGATGAATTCGAGGCTTGCAGAGAAGTGTGGAAGTATAACAGCTTTTGCATAATTAAATCCACAGCCGGGAGCGAACTCTGGTTGCTATTAGTTTGACACCACACTACACAACACACTACACACACACACACACACACACACACACACACACACACACACACACACACACACACACACACACACACGCACACACACGGACACGGACATCTTTGGAGTGGGCTCAGGCGGGAGTGGAGGGCGTCCGTACAGCAGCAGTGGCTTGTGGAGGAGGAGGAGAGGAGGCTGGGATATTGTAGGTGAAGAGGAGAGACTGAGAGAGGAGGGTCTGGGATTGGCCGATGGTCTCAGCCGAGGGTGGAGGGAGCAAAGATTTGGGGTTCTGCTGATTGAATTGAAAAGCCATTAAAACATGCTCCACACTGCATATTGTATGAATGCAAATGTTAGAAATCTTCCCGTTTCATGCATTTTGAGGAGTTTTTTTCCCCATTCCAAAGAAGACGACTTGTTATCAAAATGAAATCCATACTTTTCATCTTTCTGAAAGCCATGGAGGTGCCTGGTGTTTTCTCTGATCAAAGAAGTAAAAATATACATTATTTTTGACAATTAAAAATAACAATTACTTTTAATGTGAGGTAATATACTGTATAGAAAATTTGGTGAAAGCAGTATGAAGAGTAAAACATGCTTCCCACCTGTAACTCCTCATGCTACCACTAGAGGGAGGAGTGGAATTTGTTTCTGTTTTATTCCAAATGAAATAAAATTGACGACAATCAAATATTTGTCATTGTACAGACAGAAATAGTTCAGAAATTGCTCAATCTAATCCTATGGGCAATACTTTTGTTTTATGAGGCAGAGTGTGATGTCATAGGGGTACAATGACATAATTAAGAGAGGAGTGTGTTATTATTATTTTAAGTAATATTTTCCTTTCAATGACATTTTGACCATTTGAACTCTAAAGGCTTACTCTAAAAACTATAAAAGTATACATATAAAAAAGAAGGTGTAGTAACAATTTTTGGCCACATGTTGTGATGAGGGGAACATGTTACGTCAAAACAGTCGATAGAATGTCTGCTTCATGGTTAATACTTTATGGAAAAATGCAACGTCCAACACAGAAAAACCCATGACCTTCTTGCTTTGAGGCAGGAGCTGTTGGCCTCAACATGACCATGTCACGTGACCATGTCACATGACCATGTCACATGACCTCCTCCAGACATGTCAGATCTGTGCAGAGGCGCCTGTCGATGCATGAATGATTATTTATATAATAATGTTTTCACTTCCATGACGAGGAGAGAAGTTACAGAGAGCAGCTTTACAGAATCACCAGTTTCACCAGAGTTTAAAAAGATGTCACTGTCACTTTCAAAATTGTTGAAGCTTCTCAGAACATTTGGTTGAGATTCATCTAAAATATTCTACTAAACATATTTTAAAGTTTTAAAAATGGGCTTTTTTACAAGAACTTTTATAATGTGCTGCAGCATTGTTTCGCATAGAAATGATTTTAACTTTTAACTTTAACTAACTATTGTAGTAATGGGAAACCATGGCATGTTATACCTAATATAAAGCTAGATTTCTCAGAACATCCATGGCATTTAATGTATAGAAGTTAAACTAACATAACTATTAATGTGGTTCTGAATTCTTAATTCTGAAGAATCGTCCAGAAAACGACCTCTAAACTCATGTTAAATAAAACTCATTTCTGAAAATACCACCACAATGTAAATAATAATCATAATAAGGCAAGGCACGTTTAGTTGTCTAGCTCAGGTCATACCAAAGGCAACTCAAAGGGTTTGAACTCAAAACAAGATTGAATCAATTACACCTAACTCTAACCACAGTGCATTTACAAAAAATAATAAAAGAAAATCCCTGCTTCCCAAACTGCTCTTGCTTTTTCTATTTCCCCCCTGACCAAAAAGAGTTTGACCCCAGACTTGAATCATACAAAGCACAAATCTCCCTTCAACATCTCGTTATATTAGCAGAACACAACAGTCACGCTCTTTCTGACTTTTTCCCACAGCACTGTTCAGGGAAAATTGCTACTTGCATGACCCAAATATCTTGCCTCTTAATGACATAGATTTTTTGTCGGTTCAGGAATTATGACCCCACTTCAAAAATACGAGTAATGTGCTTATGATTTCAAAAGGACGCCCTCCGAGTCTGAAGCGCTATCAAAGGCTGCAGGCTTTTTGATCCGCAGATGTGCTGATGCGCGCCGCCTTTCACTCTGTGCGCATGTGGATTTGTGTATGTACGCACAGAAATCAACACAATCTCTGCAATATTCCATTTTTTTATGACCTGCAACGTTTTGGAACAAATTGGTCCAGATGGGACAAGTAGCAAATGCTAATTAGTTTCATTGGATATTAGCATAAGCAGAGGCTCCTCCAAATTGCAGCATATATTTACTAGCGCATGGTGCATTGAGCGCGCGCCCTGCCAGCCTGCGCCCGCGCCCATAAAATGTCATTGTACATCTGTTTTATTTACAAAGCGCCGCAGTGAATTTCATAGTGGCTTGCTTGGGAGCGGGCCGGCATTTCTCCTCCATAACATAGGCCAAGAAGAATAGACCCCGTCATGTGCCTCTGCCCGACAACAAGAGGTCCAGGTCCTAGTTTGATCGAGGAGAAAGAGCGTCCTTCTGTATAAATGTCTGTCTTCATTTACTTTGTGTTGGATGTTTATCACAAGAGCACAATGCAATCCCATGTCCACCACTAGAGGGGGCTGGCTCACTAATCCAGATACTTGTTTTGGGGATTAAACTTGTTTAGCCGTATACTCTTAGTCAACACCTCCCTCTGGTGGTAGAAGTGGGGGATTACACAATGATATATTTTAAAGGTGCAGTGAGCGGTGTTGTTAGTTTAGCCGTAGCACCAGCTCGAAACCACTCTCCTCCCTCTCCACCAAACCACTTAGACGTACTGCTCATGGGGGAGGAGCTCGGAGTAGAGCCGTTGCTTCTTCGCTCATCTGTTCGTCATTGGCCAGGAGGAGACGAGAGGAAGATCCAGGACCCGCTGGTGGAAGTGTGTGTGGAGCGGGGAGTCTGGGTGTCTCTGCTTTAGACTGCACACCCTGGCAATGGATCAAGCGGAAGAACATAAATGTATAGATGGATGGATATTGAGAGACGTTGCACTTCTTGTTACAAACTGTCAATTTACTTTTGAGGCTGACTTTGCAAAAGCTCACCACAAAGAACCAGTAACAATATCTGTGCATGAAAAGCCTCCATGTTATCGGAGCTTCCTGTCGTTCCTGACGCTTTGTTTATTCACGGCACGGAATAGAACCGATTTTATTTGTGCCCATTATTGTGAATTTGATATCAGGGAATCTAATATGGTATCAGTGTAATTCCATGGGACCAGATTACATAGGCCCAGGAATAATTATAGATCCATTTCTGTAAATGTAGGTTTGTGTGGATGGATCGTATGAACCTTCGGAGGCTCATGGACCGTTGCCCTCCATAGACCATCTTCCTTTTACAAAACAACAACACAGACTTTGACACGACTGCTCTTCAGGCCACGGATGCACTTCTAACAGCTCTTTAGTTGTGTTGATTTGTCAGTCAATTAGGGCTGCAACAAACAATTATTTTGATAATCGATTAATCAGGCGATTATTTTTACGACTAATCGATTAATCGGTTTATGTACTTATATTTTAGTTTTGCCAATTTTTTTCCAAGTAAATTGTTAACAAAGGGCCTTCATCATTCAACATAGACTTTTTAGAGATTTTAACCATTTTACATATTCATATCCACATCAAAAACATATCTGGAGCTGTTTGTTATGTCTTTGTAATCCTTTGTTGAACTCAATGTCGACCATCAAAACAAAACACTGACCGTTACATAGTCTAGCAAATTTCACAAGGAGATTTCCAATAATGTTTTCACCATGAAAATCCTTAGGGCTTCTGAAGTAGTTTAAAATCACGAACAAGGCTTATTTAAGTTGATAAACTGGAGAAATGTTTTTTTTTTTTTTTTACATCTTTGTGCAAATTAGTTGAAAGATCAACTTTATGCCTAAAACAGTGAGTGTGGCGCCATCTTTTGCAAACAGTCAGTACTGCAGAGAGATGGTTTAAGGTGCTCACGCAGAGACGTAGTACTCCCGTGCCAGGCCAAGTCAGTAGTGCAGAGTTTACAGGTTACTCTTCTTTTTAGAAGTAAAGTGCTCCCACACTTTGGATGACTTCGTTCGATTAGGTTTGTCTTCTGCTTTTTTCCTTTTCTTTCTCGAGCTCCACTGCCGCTTGCCTCCGCCATCTTGCTGTATGCTGAAGAGAAGCTGTGCGCGAAGCATGTGACATAAAAGGAGGCCAGCTATTGGCTGTTCGCTACTTCTCCTGCTGTAAAACCTCCGGTGGCTCATTACTGCCACCATTTGGTCACCGCAGAGTTAAAATATGCACGAAATGAGCCGCTTACGGCAAAATAAAAGTTATTTAGCAACTAATCGATGACTAAATTAGTTGACAACTATTTTAATAATCGATTTTAATCAATTAAATTGATTAGTTGTTTCAGCTCTACAGTCAATAAATAATAATAATGCATCGGTTTTATACAGTGCTTTTCTGGGCACTCACAGACGCTTCACATGTCATTATTCATTCACTCCAAACACGGTGGTGATAAACTACTACTGTAGCCACAGCTGCCCTGGGGCACACTGACAGAAGCGAGGCAACCAGTCTGTGCCATCAGCCCCTCCCACCACCACCAACCATTCACACACACACCAGACTCATTCTAGGCTATGGGGGTAAAGTGTCTTGCCTAAGGACACAACAGCAGTTTGGTACTTTACAGCCACAGCCGCCCCACTGTGGCTGGTGTTCCCAGAGGTTCAGTGCCTTGCCGAAGGACACAACGACAGCAGACAGTGGGAGTCGGTGGAGAAGGTCTTGAGGTGGGCCCGAACCCACGACCTTCAGCCTCAAAGACCAACGCCTGCACAGATGTTGGTGCAGTTCTACACGGCCATCATCGAGTCCATCCTCACCTCCTCCACCACCTCCTCCATCACCTCCTCCATCACCTCCTCCATCACCTCCTCCACCACCTCCTCCACCACCTCCATCACCTCCTCCATCACCTCCTCCATCACCTCCTCCATCACCTCCTCCATCACCTCCTCCACCACCTCCTCCATCACCTCCTCCATCACCTCCTCCACCACCTCCTCTACCACCTCCTCCATCACCTCCTCCATCACCTCCTCCACCACCTCCTCTACCACCTCCTCCATCACCTCCTCCATCACCTCCTCCACCACCTCCTCCATCACCTCCTCCATCACCTCCTCCACCACCTCCTCCATCACCTCCTCCATCACCTCCTCCATCACCTCCTCCATCACCTCCTCCATCACCTCCTCCACCACCTCCTCCATCACCTCCTCCATCACCTCCTCCACCACCTCCTCTACCACCTCCTCCAGCACCTCCTCCACCACCTCCTCCACCACCTCCTCCATCACCTCCTCCATCACCTCCTCCACCACCTCCTCCACCACCTCCTCCATCACCTCCTCCATCACCTCCTCCACCACCTCCCTCCATCACCTCCTCCATCACCTCCTCCACCACCTCCTCCACCACCTCCTCCATCACCTCCTCCACCACCTCCTCCACCACCTCCTCCACCACCTCCTCCATCACCTCCTCCACCACCTCCTCCATCACCTCCTCCATCACCTCCTCCATCACCTCCTCCATCACCTCCTCCATCACCTCCTCCATCACCTCCTCCATCACCTCCTCCATCACCTCCTCCATCACCCTCCTCCACCACCTCCTCCATCACCTCCTCCACCACCTCCATCACCTCCTCCACCACCTCCTCCATCACCTCCTCCATCACCTCCTCCACCACCTCCTCCAGCACCTCCTCCACCACCTCCTCCACCACCTCCTCCACCACCTCCTCCATCACCTCCTCCATCACCTCCTCCACCACCTCCTCCACCACCTCCTCCATCACCTCCTCCATCACCTCCTCCACCACCTCCCTCCATCACCTCCTCCATCACCTCCTCCACCACCTCCTCCATCACCTCCTCCACCACCTCCTCCATCACCTCCTCCACCACCTCCTCCACCACCTCCTCCATCACCTCCTCCACCACCTCCTCCACCACCTCCTCCATCACCTCCTCCATCACCTCCTCCATCACCTCCTCCATCACCTCCTCCACCACCTCCTTCATCACCTCCTCCATCACCTCCTCCACCACCTCCTCCATCACCTCCTCCATCACCTCCTCCATCACCTCCTCCATCACCGTGTGGTTCGCTGGAGCCACAGTCAGGGACAAACAGAGACTACAGCGCATTGTGCGCTCTGCAGAGGAAGTGATCGGCCGCAGCCTTCCATCGCTGCAGGACCTGTACGTCGCCCGAGCTCGAGGCCGGGCTGGTCGTATCACAGCCGACCCCTCTCACCTGCACATGGACTATTCCAACCACTCCCCTCAGGCAGGAGGCTGCGGTCCATCAGGACTAGAACCTCCCGCCACAAGAACAGTTTCTTCCCCTCTGCTGTTGGACTCTTGAACACTTCTTAACCTGTCCCCCCGCCCTTTATAAAGTCACTTTACTGCCCATCATACGTCACTTTACTTCACTGTACTGCTGTCACCTTACATTGTGTGCACCATGTGCACTTGTATATTGTAAATAGTAACTGTAACTCTATTTTAAATTAAAATTTATTCTTTAGAAGTGTTTTTTATTCTTATTTTTATTATCTCTTTCTGACTGTTGCACTGAGCCAAAGCAATTTCCTAGTCTGTGACCTCCTGTTACTTACGTGGAAATAAAAATGATTCTGATTCTGATTCTCTACCAACTGAGCCACTGTTGCCCCCAAGTTATGACTTTAGAGATAGCATTGATGAAGTTAGGAACCTTTTACTAGTAAATATTCTCTCTGTGCAATATGAGAAAGTCCTTATTGCTGCATGAAACACCAATAGTTACAGTTACAACATGATTTTGCCACAAATGCACCAGTGGTAGTGAGAATATAGCACCAATCCACAAATCCAGCTGGGACCATAACAGCTGAATAGACAAGAGTTTAGTCAACAACAAATCTATAACCAACACCTTTTTCACAAAGATAGAAATCCTGGTTTTATTCCTTGTTTTGTCGTTAATGATTTGAGAATCATAACGAGACCTTTTTTAGTTCTGCGCCACATGGTACTTTACCAGTGAGATTAGCTCCACGCAGTGAGTTCATGCGCCCGGATTACGGACTTTCTGATTGGTCAAACGGTGGAGGGCGGGACATCAAAATGAAAACAGTAACAAGATTTAGGGGCTGGAAAACTACTTTTGAAATCCAAATATCTCTGAACTACTGTTATCAGTTAAAGAAGTATTGGAAAAGACCATGTTTTATTAATGCCTTTTGACAGATTAGGGCCCTTTAATGATGACTTGACATGACAATCTTACATATTTCTACTTTAACAACTCTAAAATAAATCCCATTCATTTAGCTGCAGTCTTTTATCCAGTCTGTAATTGTTTTGTAAATCAGTTTATGTAATTCAACTGTATTTATTGATGGACCCAGGAAGACGAGCAGATTGCGAGGCGGCTAATGGGACCCACATAAACACACAAACGAACAGATCTCACACTGAACTATTTCTCATTTAATATCTCATTTTGCAAGTGTAATCAAGGAATCCGTCTTCAGCATCGTGCGGCAAACGGTCCTGAAGATACAAACGACAATCCGAGTGAAGCGTGGCCCCGTAAATCACTCCAAATGACATTAAGCTTCAGTAAAACTATTTCCCGGCGCCTGGTGAAAGGAGAGAGGCGCTTTCAAAATGGCTGTTGTCTAATTATTATGCATCTATAAATCTATAAGCCAACGTAAACGCAATCAATAAAACAAATTGACAAGTTTACTAAGCCGTCGCCAGATTGGATGTGAAAAGTCTGCGTGTCTTTGAAAATGGAGAAATAAACCAACGCGGAGCCAAGGACGTCTGGGGGTGTGTGCTAGCGGCGTGTATGCTAGGTTTTTGCTAACGTCAGCATTAGCGGCGGTGTTTTTCTAAGTCACTCACTCGCGGAGCTGAATGAGAAGCCCTGAATTAACGCGAGTGACATTTCCGCAAGCATACAGAAAATTTACCTGCCAGAAAATCACTACAGTGTCACGCAAGGGAAGATTTGAGGCATCGGGGGAGCGCACGGGGGGAGGCGGTAAGCGGAATCAAAAGTTAGCCAGGAAATGTTCATAGTGTAGTGGTTTTTTGTTGGACTTTGCAGGGAAACAGATTTGCCGACGAGAAACTTTAGCAAATATTGTGCTTACGTAGGTACAGTATGTTTCAAAAGGCCTCTTCCAACCAATGCATAAACTTAAAGGAGACATATATAACAATAAATATGTTATCTAAAAAAAAGATCCTTCTACACTAATATCATTAACTTCTGACAGACGTGTGACTCCGCCCCTTCTGTCTCATGTTATTGTCACCTCATCATCATCGTCATCTTCGTCATCATCATCATCATCATCAGAGCTGTTTTCTGAGTTTTTTCACTAAATGATTTTTGGATTCCGACAGTAGCTCATTTGGTAGAGCATTGGCCTTTGGGCCTGAAGGTCGTGGGTTCGATCCCACCACGAGAACTACTTCATGACTCCCACCGATGACTGCTGTCGTTGTGTCCTTGGGCAAGACACTTAACCCCACTTTGCTGGAAGATCAAGCCTCCTGTGGACGCAGCACCTGCAGGAGGATCAGTGAGGGGCTGGTGCTCTGACTGCCACCCCCCGACCCAGAAATGGATTAAGGGGAAAATGAAGAAGAAAATGAATGAATAAACGTATTAGGTGGGTTTAAAAATTGTGGCGACCTTTAGAACGGTTACGGAGCCTCCTGTGATGTCATCGGTTACAGAGCTCTGCTCTACTTCTGCAATTTCAACATATTTTTCATATTTTCTTCACAAACAATGTATTTATTGGTTTAAATCCAAAATGTGTCATTTCACAATCACTAGAACTCCCAGAGCCGTCAGTTTGACTGCTCCCATTAAAACTATACGAACATGATAAAGTCTCACCCAAAAGTGTTCCAGTTTCATTAAAGTGAGTTATTTCTAAACTCTTTACCTTTAGTCATTTTTAGTTAGTGCTAAAATACAACTGAAATAAAGCAGCGACAGTTTGGGGAAAGCTGACCACTGTTACATACCATGTGTTGCTATGGTAACAATGGTCACTTCAAAACCAGAACCAGTCCAGGATCAGACCAGAACCAGCATCTTGAAAAGGGGTCTTAAACTTACATAGAATGTTGGTTAAAATGTGAAGTTATAGTTTTTAGAACTACTCATATTTCTGAATTAAACGATTATTTCACATGAATGACCTGCATATAGATACAGAAGACAGTCACACAAGGCATTACAATCATAAATAATAACTGTTCATTAAAAAGAAATATAAAATCCCTCAGTTGTATTCAGGCTGTTTTTTACCTGGATTCAAACATTGTCAGAGAAGAAGCCTGTCTCACATTTTCAGGAATATTGCTCCAGAATTTAGCTGCATGAATCTGAAATGCTGCCTTTCTATGTTCTTCTCTGACTCTGGGACCAGCAGGAGTCCAGTCCAGTCCAGTCCAGTCAAGTCCAGTCCAGTCCCCCAGTATTATCCCGTAAATATTGCAGGACCATTAGCCGCGAAGCTAGTTTGATTTTGCGTGCCCATAAATGTCACGGCTGACGAATGGGAAGAGCCGGTCGATTCACTGGTAATGTATGAAGCAAAGATGATTCACGTGGTCCAAACGTTATAATCTAAATGGACCCGCCGTTTATAGAGCTGCAGAGAAAACGTGCTTAGTCGAGGAAATGGTCTTAAAGGGATGGTTTGAACACGGATCCAACCTGAGGGACTCTGGGCCGCGTAAACGTTAGTGTAAACTGAGAATGGTTTTGGTTTTCTGCTCTTGTTTACTTTGACTTGTTATATTAGGTCCTGGATCAGGGGCGACAGTGGCTCAGTTGGTGGAGCATTGGTCTGTGACCTGAAGTTTGTGGGTTCGAGTCCACCACAAGACTTTCTCCATCAACTCCCACTGCTGTCGTGGGATGTTATACCCAATTTTTTTCCTAATGAGTTAATAAAAATGCTTATTACCACAAACAAGTTGCATTATAATCCGTAATTTAATTGAAAACTTGATCTCATTGATTCAGCTGTGTATGAATTCAGGCCGTATAAAAGTGCTGAGTAGAGACTTAGCGTGACGCCCGCTCTCCTCCAATCACAGAACGAGGCTGCGTCCTCTAGCCTCTACAGCGCTGCTAAACACAGTAGCATGTTAGCATCAGTGGCTATAACTCCTCTGGCTGTAACTGCAGACACAGAAAAACAGCCCAAACCACACAACAGTGAGGAAGAGAAGAGGAACTAAAGCCACAACATGATCAAAGAAGAAACCAAGCCCTGAACAGAGCTAGCTTACATCGTATCCTCTGGAGAGACTGGTCTATGGGAGAGACCTGCGGGACCGCCTCGGACTATCTACGCTCGGACTATCTACGCTCGGACTATCTACGCTCGGACTGTCTACGCTCGGACTGTCTACGCTCGGACTATCTGTGCTCGGACTATCTACGCTCGGACTGTCTACGCTCGGACTATCTACGCTTGGACTGTCTACGCTCGGACTGTCTACGCTCGGACTGTCTACGCTCGGACTATCTACGCTCGGACTATCTATCCTCGGACTGTCTACGCTCGGACTATCTACGCTCGGACTATCTACGCTCGGACTATCTACGCTCGGACTATCTACGCTCGGACTCTCTACGCTCGGACTCTCTACGCTCGGACTATCTACGCTCGGACTATCTACGCTCGGACTATCTACGCTCGGACTATCTACGCTCGGACTATCTACGCTCGGACTATCTACGCTCGGACTATCTACGCTCGGACTATCTACGCTCGGACTATCTACGCTCGGACTATCTACGCTCGGACTATCTACGCTCGGACTGTCTACGCTCGGACTGTCTACGCTCGGACTGTCTACGCTCGGACTGTCTACGCTCGGACTGTCTACGCTCGGACTATCTACGCTCGGACTATCTACGCTCGGACTATCTACGCTCGGACTATCTACGCTCGGACTATCTACGCTCGGACTATCTATCGCTCGGACTGTCTACGCTCGGACTATCTACGCTCGGACTATCTACGCTCGGACTATCTACGCTCGGACTATCTACGCTC